CGCCATTGGCACCATCGATATTTTCTTTGCCCATCAAGATGAGTTGCATCGATCGCTAATACCACCCTTACATATTCCTTTTGGCAACCCCATGATTCACCAACGAAGACAGGCCCTTCGCGCCAGGCGACCCGGCGCCGTCTCCACAAACTTCATCATAATCGTCCTGATCTGGTGCCTTTTCCTCCACATCAGTCCATATCCCCGCAATGATGCAACTCGATTGTCTCACCTCTCGCTATTGGAACATGGTACATCGAGCTGCCCTCCCTCCAAGCATGGTCTGACACGGCAGCAGCAAAGCAGGAACGAACCCGAGCAGCGACATGGAAACAGTTCATGAAGGAGGCCGAGGTTCTGGGCGAGTACGTCGATGTTGTGGGGTTTGATGGGTGTGGACTCTGCTGATGGCGAGCCCAAGATCTGGAGCAGGGGCGATATACGACAATACACTGCAGAGGCTCGTCAAAATCGATATCGCGGCATCTACGCAAGCTGGATCCCTCACCCTCGCGGACAACACTACAAGCTTTGTTGACGAGCCGACGTACTTCTTCAACCCGTATCCGTACGACACCGAGGACTGGAAGGCTCGCCATACCGAGCACGCGGAATGCCTTGGCCCCAGGGGCCCTGTCACGGACACTGTTCGAGTGTTCAGGGGGCGCCCGCGGGATTTTCCTGATCCTGTACTGGGGAGCTATGAGGTCTTGGGGATTGACCGCAACCTTTGCTTTGAGCGGGAAACACGCCTGGGTCCCTACGGACTGCCGACAAGCCTTGATGGAGGGGATGACCTCGACTGGGATGGAGTGAATTGGGGTGAACTCCAGAGTTGGTGTCAGGACAGGAATAAGGCGCGATTCGGTGGCAAGAGGGGCGGCCAAGGAATCCCTGGACGGCAAGTGCTCAACCCAGAGACACGGGATCAGAAAGGGGCGCAACGTAATGCTTCCCTGGTCCAGCAAGACGAGCCGTCAAGGCAGAAGACGCCCAAAGTCAAGGAGTCGAGGACAGCCGTCCTTCTGCGAGCCGACACAGAGCGGGAGTTCTCCATCGACGACCGACAGGTCATCCGATCCCTCATCACTGAGTTGAGTCTTCGGTCGGGTGGGGAATACCAAGTGTTTTTGATCCTCCACAACAAGGAGGATGTCAGTTTCTGGAATGGCAAGGAATCATGCCAGGCCGTTATTGAGAGGCATGTCCCTCGCGAGTTTTGGGGAATGTCCCTCTTATGGAGTACATCGATGCTCCAAGAATTATACCCAAGACCCAACCCGCACTTCTCACCAGTACTGTTTTTCATGCATTCACACCAAGAATTCGACTACGTCTGGAACTGGGATCTGGACGCCCGCGTCATCGGACACAACTACGATGTGCTCAACCGACTCGACGAGTTCGCCAAGAAGCAGCCCCGAAAGGGCCTCTGGGAGCGGAACCAGCGGTACTATATCCCTTCGATCCACGGCGACTACGACACCGACTTCCGCAAGACGGTCGAGAAAGCTCACACCGGGCCCTCGGTATGGGGCGCCCCACCACTCGGGCCGAAAGCACCAGTCCCTACGCCAGACGAAGACGACTACCAGTGGGGTGTGGGCGAAGAAGCCGATCTCATTACACTATCGCCCATCTCCAAAGTCGACGACGGCGATCGGACCCGTGAATACCGCTCGTGGATGGACCTCCCCCGCCGGGCGCAGCACCTTCGGGCGTCGAGGACGCTCGTGGATGCCATGCACGCAGAGGAGGTCAAGGGAAACCATCTGGCTCCCGAGAAGGCGGCACTTGTGCACGGGCTGAAGGCCGTGTATGCGCCCGTGCCTGTGTACTTTGACCGGGCGTGGGACGTGGTACGGCTGGAGAGGTGGTTGAATGACGGGCCGGTGGGCGAGGGATGGGATCGGGAAATGGGTGCCACGTGGGATTCCAGGGCGGAGGCACCGCGGAGGTTGTACAACCGCTGGTTGGGAAAAGAGAACGACGGGGTAGGGGGCACGGAGTGGGAGGCGGAACATGGCAGGCCGTGTTTGCCGGGCATGGTTTTGTATCCTGTTGGGGAGCAGAGCTCGAAGTAAGCAAAGGGGGGAGTGGTTGGATGTTGCTCCGGGCGATTGTGCCAGAAGATTTGCTTGAAGAGTTTGCAATCCGGGCTCTGGTTCGGCATCGATAGAGATGGACGCCTCTTACGCCAGGGTATTCACTGTCTAGTATTTCCACAGCGTAGATGGATAGAAGATAAGACATTGAGTCAAACGGGCTCACCCCCTTTGTGGAGAAGCGATGAGGACAGGATCCGGCATGCTGACGACATGTAGCTGTAGCTCTTATAGTGAGACCAATGCCCAACAGGATACCGGCCGGAAAAAGAAAGACACGAGGTGCCAAGTCCGCCCGGGCGGAGCGGCGAGAGGGTGCAGGTCTTACCGGAGGGGGAGCGGACCGGGGCGGTTCTGTTCCCAGGCACGCGGGAGGTGCGGGGTTGGCTGACATGGGCGGGGCAATGCATCTCCGGGTGAGGCGGGACTCGAATGAAAAGGCGGAGAGGGCCGCTGAATACCTACCTACCTATTTATTCTCCTCGTGGTTCACCGCGCCCTTTCAGCATCTGTTCGTCTACGACTTGGATACTTGCCCGCTCACATCCACCCACCGCCACCATGACCACCCCCCTGCCCCCCTCAGACCTCCTCGCCCTCTCCTCCACCTCGGCCTTCCAACCCCTCCCGCCCCACATCCTCGTCCGCGTCCTCTCCCATCCCCCATTCGTCTCCGTCCCAGGCACCTTTAATACCCGCGACCTCGGCCTCGTCCCCGGGTCCCGCCTCAAGCCGGGCCTCTTCTTCCGCACGGGCTCGCTCGCCGGCCTCACGGACGAGGGGAAGCGCGTGCTCCGCGAGGAGATGGGGATCAGAACCATCTACGACCTGCGGTCGGTGGCGGAGCACGCGGCGCAGCCGGACCCGGAAATTGACGGGGTGAGGGTGTTGTGGGAGGAGAGTAAGGAGGAGAAGGCGACGGCGGAGCTGGGTGAGTTTTGTGAGGGGGAGGGGGAGGTGGGTTATGAGGGGATGTATTTGGGGGTGCTGGAGATGTACAAGCAAGGGCTGCGGGGGATGTTGGAGGGGGCGATGACGAAGGAGGGGGGACTGTTGGTGCATTGCAGTGGTGAGTGCCTACCTTCTTCTCAGCGAGGACGACAGTAGGTTGCTAACGGTGTGTAGCCGGACGTGACAGGACGGGCATCGCCTCGGCTATGCTGCTGGCGCTGGCCGGGACGGACGCCGAGACAATCGAGTTGGATTACATGCTCTCGCGGATCGGCACGGAGGCGGCGAGGGAGATTCTGATGGGGTTTGCGCTGAAAGGGTCCGGGGCGGCGAGTGTGGATACGCCGGGGTTCCGGAACATGTGTGAGCTGAGGGTGTCGTGCTGGCGGAGGTTTGTGCGGGGGTTGGAGAGGGAGTTTGGCGGGTGGGAGGGGTACGTCACTGGCACGTTGGGGTTTTCGGGGGAGGAGTTGGAGGTGATCAAGAGGAATCTAACGAGGGATGATTGAGAAAGGAGGGGTCGTCATGGTGCCAAGATGGGTCAAGAATCTCAAGATGCTACGTCAAGGGATTCTAGAAGCGAGTTCGATCCAAACCTTGCTTCGTCGTGGCAGGGAACCCGTGACCTTGTCTCACGGTTATTTTGACCTGACCTTGTTGACCCGGCGGTGTGGTGCACCCACCAGTGGCGCCCGTGGTGGGAGGTGGGACGGGATTTTCCCGGCGGTGACATCATCGCCCGGTTCTCGTCCCCTCAACACCAAGCTTCCAGCTCCGACGAATCACAACAACACAGCGCCGCCCCACCCACACCCGCTGACGACGCCGCGACAACGAACACCCTTTGTGCAGTTCCAGGGTCCGAGTCACAAATCAGGGTCTCGAGGGGAGAGGGGATCGCCAGCCTTGTTCTTTACTGCGTTTGATGTCATGTCGGGTGTCGGCCATGTCTGTTGGGCTGCGGAGGGGGCAGTGTACCTCTGACGTCGCGGCTTGTCCGCCAGCCTGATGCCTTTTTGGCGTGTGTTGGAAAGAAGGAATTGTGTATATAACTTTGCCCCATCTCCTGCCTCAAGTGGTATATTTTCTCTTCATTATCATCAACCAAACAGGCCTTGCATCAAACCAAGACAACAGCATCCAAAACACAGCACACCACCAACCCAATCACAATTACAACCACCACCAACACAACCACAACCACAACCACCAAAATGCCTCTCTTCTCCCGCCGCCGCCCCGTCACCACAACCGTCGCCCCCCGCCGCCGCGGCCTCTTCAGCAGCCGGCGCAAGGCTCGCCCCGCCCGTCGCAGCCACGCCGCCCCCATTGTCACCGTCGGCCACCACCACGCCGCCCCGGTGCACCACCAGCAACGCCGCCCCTCCATCGGCGACAAGATCAGCGGCGCGCTACTCAAGCTCAAGGGCACCCTCACCGGGCGCCCGGGCCAAAAGGCCGCCGGGACCCGCCGCATGCACGGCACCGATGGCCGGGGGAGCGTGAGGGTTGCGAGGAAGAGGAGATTTTTCTAGATGGACATGATGGACACATATGAGGGGGCGATTGTACGATGATGAAGCGTTTTCGCATGGATTCCCTTTGTTGGATTTGTTGTCGCCATTTGGCAGACTGGGAGGAGTTCGAACTGTATGATATTGATACCCGGGAGTTGTTGCATCGATAGGATATGTTTGCTATCAAGATTTACCCTCGATTCCAGTGCCAGTGCCATTGTTGTCATGTGTATCCACGTTTGAAATTAGCTTCAACTGGATATCTCCGCACCTACTAATTTATCCCTCCATGTTGACGCTAACGTCAAGGCGATGTTGTGTTGTTGCCCCTGATGCGCCGATGTCCTCATGTGTTGCCCCGTCATATAGGCAGTTGGAACCGAATTGTTTCCATCAACCAACTACGACAGGTGCACACACCTGTAAATCTTCCGTAGTATAGTGGTCAGTATGTGAGCTTGTCACCTTAACCCGACATCGCTCGAGACCCGGGTTCAATTCCCGGCGGGAGAGATCTGTTTTTGCCTTTTTGCCATCCATCATGCGAAGCTTCGCTTGGACTGGACAGACTGTCCAGTTGTTTTTTGTTCCTTTTATTTCTCGCCCGTGTCAGCGACCATGTCTCCCAGCTGTATCTGCAGCTTCCAATTCTCATCCCTCGCTCCATGGACGAGAGGGCGATTTGTGGGAGCCATGCCCTGTCTCCACCTCACCCACACTTCACGAGTCACGACAGATCAGAGACAAACCCTCTCTCAAAAACCACAATTCCAATCCTGGTTCCCCATCCATTCCCGCCGGTTGTATAGTGTAGCGGTTATCACATCGGATTCTGATGTCCTTCCTCCTCCTTCGCCAAGGAGCGAGTCAAGCACCAGACATTCCGGGAACCCCGGTTCGAGTCCGGGTACGACCTTTGTATCCCTCCATTGTCCTCTTGGGATGGGGTCCTATCCTTTTGCCCTCTGTCTTTTTTTGCTCAACAGGACGGCGCAATCCCGAGAGACCTAGATGGACTGGACGGCGTTGCGGTGCCGGTTCTGGTGCCGAGAGATGGTCGTCGCCGTCTCGCAGATGCTCGGGCTGGGTAGTCGATGACTGCTGTGTGCATCGTCGTGTATTTATACCCTGTGTGGCCTCCATCGCTGTTGGACACCGAGACTGGTCGTCATGTTTACACGCCCCTTTTTTGCGTTGGTGGCAAAGACCATCTCGACCTTGGCGATCCAGTGCGCAAAAGTCCAGAAAACATCTCGAATTCAAATTCGGGCGGTAGCCTACTCGCCATCCTATGCTTTTGAACAGCCATGCCAACTCAAATGGCCCGAAATTACCTATTAACCACACAAATCACCAAAGCAAGCCATATGCCACCGCCATGGCCCGCTGCACCCCCCCCCCCCCAAGACACCATCGCTCCTCTCGACGATCTGGGTATCATCGTACAAGAAAGACAAGCTACAAAGACAAATAACTGGAGTACCGACAAGCAAAAATACAAGAAAGGCGCTGTCTGTCTGTACATGGTCCAAGGTATAATTACAACTCGCCCTCTATCCAGACAAAAAAAAGGGCTCGTATCCAGAGCCGGTATGCATGCTGAATTTTGGTATGAAACAGTTGGGTTGGGAGAAGGTCAAATCATCCCCGGTGGCGGAGCCTGTGTCCTCGCGTCTGCGAGTGCTGCTGTTGCTTTTTCGGCTCGTGGCGTCCCCTGTGTCCCCGAGCTTGACCCTTGGCCTTTGCTCCGGAGTGTCTGGCTCGACCCGAGTCCGCGCTTCATCATCTTCCCTAGCACGTTGACGAGGGCACAGGCGTCGGCAAACATGTCGTTGTCGATCCCCTCTGTGGCGTCGTACACTTCGGTGATGGTCTCCTTGGCCAGCTGGCGACTGCCCTCGAGATCGTGGACGCACTCGTAGAGAAACGCGGCGTATTCCGTCTTGACCGACAGCCGGAGGGAATGCGACCCCCACAGCAGCTCCTCGGCGAGTGCGACGGCTTCCTGAAAGTACCGATGCGCCTGTGGGAGATAGTCGCCGGGTTTGAGGAGGAATGCCGTTGGGGGACCTGGCCGTTCTGGCCCGAAGCCTGGCGGCGGGCCGACGGGACCCCCTTCAAAGGTGTGTGGCTGCCTCGCGGCAAATGATGCATCGGGTCCGTCGTCGTCCGTCGCGATCCCTTTCCCCTTGTCGATGCGGATGGGCGCTATACTTGGTAGGGTGCTCGATGACTGCCCTTCGGGGGTGCTGAGGCTGAGTGTTGAAACGGGTGGTGTGTTGTGGAAGAGAACAAAGATGTGGTAGAAGGAGGCGCGGAGTTTGTAGGCCAGAACTTTGAGCTCCCCATACTTGCCCACCATGGGGATAACGTATTGATTCAGCAAGACAAGGCCTTCGCGGGACAGCCAGATGATGTGGAAGTGCAGCTCCAATGCCTCGGGAAGCGGCGTCGTGTCATTTCTCCGCAACTTTTGGGCGCTGATGAGTTGGCTGGAGAGGTTGATGGAGAGCCCGAGGATTTTGAACAAGACCGAGGCGAGAAGTGGGTTGTCGTTTTCGACAGCCCTGGCAAGTTTGCCAAGGAACTTTTGATCGACTTCTGAAGAAGCCATTGAGAATGACTTGTCGACTTTGGGTGAAATATGCGGCTGGTGGTGGGTCAGCGAGACCGACCCTTTGAGACTCGAGAACCACGGACCAAGGTGACAGGTCGTGCATGCCAGGGTTGCCACGAGGACTGCTCGACGTACCTTGGTGATGTCTCCAGAAGTGAAAGAGACAGAATGGACAGCTGGGGTTGAAGCGAGCCCAAGCACGAACGGGGCTGACGTTGATGGAGCAGGCTGGCAACGTAATCGAGGCCCGCGGGTGGCAAACGACGGTGCTGCTGAGGCTGGGAGGTTACCGGATGGCCACACCCCTCGCGTTGATAGGACGATATGCCGAACTGAATGAGTGACTGAAGCGACGCGCCTCTTGCTGCATCGGCGCAGGTGAAGGCTGCCCTATATCAGCCTGGGCCAGATGCCGACGCAAGAACCCCCCGACTCGATGACCTGTAAGCCACGGCCCGCAGAGAGGGCAGAAAGAGCCCTTGTTATGGCCCTGTAATTACACGACACTACGCCCTCGGGGTTAGAATGGGGCCAACCGGACAGCAGGGACCGAACCATTGGAGGAACACTGACCAATATGATACAGCGAAGCCAACTAGCCCAAGAGAGGTAATTTGTACAGGCGGATCAGGCGAATCAACCGATGGGCGCAGCGGCCGTTAGCAGATGGTGACGCCGAGGAGTTGAGGCTCAGAGTCGGAGGTGGCGAGATTGGTGAATTTGAGGCTGGGCATGGCGACGACGTCCCGTCCTTGTTTCCAGTGCGACGAGAGGGAATCCGGGGCCCTTGGAAGAGACAGCGGACGGCAGCTGGAGGGCCTCGGGAGTCGAAAAGGAATCCAGAGATCCGAAAACAAGGGCCGTGCACCTGTTTAGGGGGGCGGAGGGGGGAAGGCGGTGAGGGTTGACTTGGTCCTGGAATCTCGACGACAAGTCGCGCTGGAGCAACTGTGGAGTCGCAACAACGTCAACACCCCAACGAGGTTGGCGCCAGTCGCAAGTCAAGGCGCTAGGCTGGACACTGCCGAGAGAGCCACGAGAGCCAGTGATCGGGGCCGGGTCGGAGAGGGCGTCGAGGTGGACAGGCGAGGCAGAGAGCCGCGACGGGGCGACTGCGTAACGTGCTTGTGCTTGCTGCAAAGGAAGGGTAAACAAGAATATTCGCTCGCAGCGGCAGCGGAAGAATCGTGTGCGCCGGTCTTGGCTGGGACGTGGGCACTGGACGGATGGACGCGACCCAGGGCTGTATGTGTCTTAAAGGAGTCGTGCAGCACGGCGGCGTCGCAAAAGGCAGTGCGGTGCGAGGGCCTCGTGCATGAACGAGTATCGACGGTGGGTCCGCCGCTTGGCCGGGGGTTTTATCGACGACCAGAGCAAGTCTGGAGAGGCAGGTTTCCGGAGCCTCTGGCAGCAACGGCCACGATCCGGTGCGCCGTATGACGCGGGCGCAGCGAAGCTACTGCGCAAGCAATGCCGGCAGCGAATTGACCGACGGTCCACGGTCCACGGTCCACAGGCCAAGCAGCCGGAGGCTGGAGGGTGGAGGCTGGAGAGAAGGGGGGCGAAGGGGGCGATGGACGATGGGGCGATGGGCGACCAAGAAGAGTCCAAGACGGCGAGGGCCCCGGGGTTATGTCATACGGGGGCTACTCTCTGAGAGGACGAGAGGGCGACGGCAGCAGCAGGTCAGGGTTGAATAATTCCAGAAGCGAATGGCAGCCGTTTCGAGGTGCAGATGGGGGTCCTGCGAGCTGCGAGGTGAGTTGTCCACCGTCATTCAACCACGAACCACGGCACCACGGCTCCGGCAAGCCTGCGAGCCTGCGAGCCTGCGACGCAGAAGACGACCCGACCGACCGACCCACGGCCTTGGTCCGACAGACAGCAGCGCCCGCGATTGGACCGCGGCGACAGACGAGAAAAAGGAGCGGCGTTGCGACCGAATGAGGACGCGTCGAGGGGTCGACAGGGGAATGAGCGTGGGTGCGGGCGAGTGAGAATGAGCGAGACTCGGGCCGTGATCGTGATCGCGAGAGAGGGAGGGAGGTGAGAGAGAGAGAGAGAGAGTTGAAGTCTCTGGCCAAGAGACTCGAGAGAGAGAGAGAGGGCGACGCGCCAGGCCCGGCCCAGCCACGCGGTTCCCTGTTTCTTCAGGGACCCCTGCGATCCCGTTCGTGATTCCGAGGACCGAATTCGAGATGGAGGACCAGAGCGGGAGCGATACGGAATACGGAATACTCGAACAACAATTAAGCGCTGAGTAAAACGAATGGCCTCGCGTTCGAAACAAAGAAAAAAAAGGAGCGACTCGGGTGAGAGATTGATGGACAACGGCCTTGTGTGACCAAGGGCTGAGGGTGGTGAAGGACGGAGAGTGTCGAGTCTCGACGCCACTCGTTCTTTCTTTCACCTGCGACTTCCGCGCCCTGACTGTCCCGGACAGAGCGCGCCTGCCGCCTGCAGCGCAGCGCCTGCCACTGCTGAAGCCTGACCCCCGGCCCTGGTATCGAATGCGGCGTTCCGTGGCTGAATCCCGTGGGCCGTGCAAGTGCAAGTGCAAGCCAGAGCAGTGGGGGATCCCTGTAATCTCGACATTTGACGGGAAGCGCCGACCTGACGCGCCGCGCCTCCCCCAGGCGTCCAGGCCCAGGGTGTCCCGGGTGGAGATCGGGCTTTCCCGATCTGGACAGGGCATCGAATTTGATCTTGGGTCTTGCCGTTGTTTGATCTGCTGCCCTCATCTCTCTCTCTCTCTCTTTCAATCTCAGGGCTCTCTCTCCTCAAGACATCCACGACGGTCGTTGGCGGCCTTTTTGCCCCAGAACCCAGAGCGGCTGGGTCCGAGACACCGAGACAGTCCAACCTCGGAACAAGGTTATCGTCGCGTGTGGCCCTGTGCGCCAACGACCACGTTGTCGACGACATCTTTCGCACGCGACGGCCCATTTCTGGTCTTCTGTTGCACATGATGCTCGCCCCCCCCCCCCTCCCCGCGTTCTGACGTCCGGTCGCGTACGAAACCTCTGCAGGTGCAGCGGAACTTCTTGGTCCTTCGGTTCGACCAAACGAGCGTCGGTGAGATGGTGAGCCCAGGTACCGGTAGGGAGATGCACCCCGACAAGTTCTGGGACCACCTATGGATGGCATCGATGCCATGCTGACACTGTTTTCCGACGCAGCTCCATCGACTGGTGGTCATTGTGCCAGCACAGTCACGTCGATGGTCAGCATCCGGGTCCCCAAAGGAGGCCTTCCATCACCCCCACCACCATCTCCCGAGCCTTATATGGACAGCCGAC